GTCCCGAACAGACCCTTACCGAATTCGGTAGAAGGCAATTCGGTGGCAACTGAGAAGGCCAGAATTCGGTGCACGTAACCTAGCTCGGTGCTATAACTATTATAAAATATAGGAAAGCACCTAGCCTAGGAAATCAAGCAATTCATGCATGCATATGCTTATCCTATGCTAGAAATAGCATAATAAAGTAGAGGCAAGCAAGCATAGCTGGCATAAGCCATCGTACTCTCACAGAGGGAGACCCGGATGCACTTGAAATCTCGACTCCGCGCTCTTACGCGGAGGCCGTAGAGGGTCCCTACTCCTCTCAGTGGGAGGCAGCTATGGATGCAGAGATGGCTTCCTGGAAGTCCACAGGCACCTACGTTGACACGGTTCCCCCACCTGGGGCGAACATCGTCAGTGGCGTGTGGATCTTCAGGGTGAAGCGGCCGCCAGGTTCTCCACCTGTCTTCAAGGCGCGGTACGTGGCTCGTGGCTTCAGTCAGCGGCAGGGAGTTGACTACTTTCACACCTTCTCTCCCACCCCGAAGATGACCACTCTTCGGGTGCTGCTGCACATAGCCGCTCAGCGCGACTACGAGCTTCACTCTCGTGACTTCACCACTGCTTTCTTGCAGGGTAGCCTGCACAAGGAGATCTGGCTGCGCCGCCGACCTGGCTTCATTGGGACTTTTCCTCCTGGCACCCAGTGGAGCCTCCAACGGCCAGTCTACGGTCTCCGCCAGGCACCGCGTGAGTGGCACGACACACTAAGGACTACGCTTGCGGCTCTTGGGTTTGTTCCCTCTACTACCGACCCGTCGCTGTTTCTGCGTACCGACACCTCTTTGCCGCCATTCTACATCCTCGTGTACGTCGTCGATTTGGTCTTTGCCACTGCTGACACTGCTGGACTCGCCCACGTAAAGTCCGAGCTACAGAAGAGACACACGTGCACAGACCTGGGTGAAGTGCGCAGCTACCTTGGCTTGCAGATCACTCGGGACAGAGCACGCTGCACCATTACCTTGACTCAGTCACACATGGTGCAGCAGGTCCTTCAGCGCTTCAGCTTCACGTACTCCTCGCCTCAGGCCACTATCTGGCTACTCGCCACTCGCTCTCAGCTCTGCCTTCGGATGAGTCCGTAGAGTCGAGTGGCCCGTACCCAGAGCTTGTTGGCTGCCTCATGTACCTGATGACCTGCACACGACCTGACCTTGCATACCCTCTTAGCATCCTTGCACGCTGTGTTGCTCCTAGGAGACACAGACCAGAGCACATGGCTGCAGCGAAGAGAGTGTTGCGCTACTTGTGCAGTACGTCGGGTGTGGGGCTAGTGCTTGGAGGGCAGAGTCCAGTGGTCCTCACTGGGCACGCAGACGCTTCTTGGGCTGACGACCAGGCTACTCAGCGGTCGTCACAAGGTTACACCTTCATCCTTGGTTCCGGCTCTGTTTCGTGGCGGGCTACTCGCTCGACTTCTGTTCTCGGCTCCAGTTGTGAGGCTGAGATCTACACAAGAGCCATGGCTGCTTAGGAGCTTCGCTCGCTCACCTACTTGCTGACTGACCTCGGAGAGCTGCCTCGTTCTCCTCCAGTGCTATACGTAGACAACAAGGCCATGCTGGCCTTGTGTCGGGAGCAGCGCCTGGAGCACAGTACGAAGCACACTGCTCTCCGCTGCTTTCTTGCTCGTGAGTTGCAGCAGCGTGGTCTGTTGCGACTTGCGTACGTGGCCTCTGAGGCCAACACTGCTGATATCTTCACCAAGGCACTTGTGCCTTGTGATCATCAGCGCTTCTGTACTCAGCTTGGTCTTGTGCCTGTCTTGCCTCACTTGCTCACTTCTTGACCTTGCTTGTACCGTCACATACATATATACTCCCGCTCTTGCTTGTTTAGCCTTTTATATATGTGTGTGTGTACTCCTGCATGTGAACTGTCCTTCTTGCCTTGAACTTGTGCTCGGAATGTGTGGTGACTTTGTGATCCACCCTGAGCTTTGCTTTGTTTTGCTTGACTGGTCTTGTGACCCCTTGTTCTCCCCCACTTTGCCTATAGGGGTGTGTCAAATTATAATGTTGTGTAGGCTGTAGTGGGGTAGCCTATATGGGGTACACATTTCTAGGGTTGCATATTTGTACCACTATCATTCCTTAGTGCAGTCATTCTTGTTTCAACTTTCTCAGTATGTGAGTCAGCACGTGGCAGAATTCGCGTGTCGCAAGGGTAAAAATATATGCGGTATTTCAATTTTCACTAAAATACATTGCAGTTTCAATTATCAGAAACATACGTCTTATCTCGTACACAAAAATAGGTGTCGTATAAAAAGGCTAGCCTGTTTATAAGAGACACCCGTATAATAGACAACCCCTGTCTACTATTCAACACTGTCTTATATCTGGGCGATGACGGTAGTTGAGAGACAGTGGCCTTATATGGAAGAGTAGCCAGAATCCAAACTAGAGCCTTGACGGGTACAGGTTGCGGGACTATGGCTGAGGCGACGCGAGCGGTCTTGGCGACGCGCAATTCTGGTGACTCGGGCAAATCGCCGCTAATCGCGGCAGAAATCACGTCGGTGAATTGCCACCCCCCCCCCCCCCCCCCCCCCCCCTCTCCCCCTCCCCCATGAAAAATCGCATTAGGGTGGTACCTAACACTACTCGTTGTCATCAGGGCGAGTACACCAGGTCGGTCTGAAATATCAGTGTTACACAAAAATTCACTTTTTATTGTAAGGGCGCCAGGGCTCTGGTTAGCAGGGTGAATCACCCTTACAATTTTTACTATATGGCTGGGTTGTCGTCCTTTGCCTTTTTTTTCAGAGTTGTTTGTGGCTGGACCCTTTTTCGAAAAAGCTCTGTTTCACAATAGGCTGATATTTCAGAGTGGTCTGTGTAACCAGACTGTTGTAAAAGACTCGAAACGAATTTGACACTGACGAATTTCCGGGGGGGGGGGGGGGGGGGGGGGTTCCAGCACATCAACAGTCGGCGAAAATCTTGCCGCAATTAGCGGCTAACTTTCACAATCACGACTGTGCGGGTCTGGGCCTACTTTTGGATTCTAGGTACTCTGATTTCCAGAGTAGTTTTTTTCCCAACTCTGAAATCTAGGGTTGTTCATGCGCCTTACTCTGATTTGTCAGAGTAACCCTACACTTCAAAAAATAAAACCTAGGCACGTCAGAGTAATATTTTTCTCTACTTTGATGTTGGTTAAGTTTCCTGTATGAAAGTTTTTGTTACGCCTTTTGTGCTTGTACTATGTTTCATTTCCGCGTTGCCCACGTTTCCCCCCTCAGTGCGTTGTTTCCAAGTGACGTGTTGGCACCAATAATTTGACTCAAGGAGAGGGGAGGGGAGTGGCTGACATGTGCGCTGGTTGAGAAGTTGTCAAACTTTTGTAGCCAATCAACGCTCATATTGCCCCCAACACACGACCGAAATCAGGATAATAATCTCAACGATTCGGGGAAAACCCGCTAAACGTGGGGAGGGGGAGGGGGGGGAGGGGGGTGGGTGGGTTTCGGCTAGGGGGCATGTATCAGGGCTAATTTTTGGTTTTAAGCAACCCTTATCATCAGTCCTGCACCTTTGCAAAACCCTGATTATTAGTGTGACCCCTAGGGAAAATTATTTTCTATCACGGTTTTCCATAGTTTCAAAACATTCACCCTTATGCCACAGTGTCACAATTTTGAATACCCTGATGAAGTGTTTCTACGGAAGTTCCAAACAAAAAACGAATTCGAGGATCGATCTCGAGCCATCATCGTTCCGAAGTCCAGACAACCGACCAGGCCACTCCAAAGCGGAAGTTCGATAGTTTGATGGTACAACTCATTGTACCGGGACAGAAGTGCGTAGGTAAATTGGGGGGGAGGGAGTTAGGGGGAAGGGGGTGATGTTACGCGCTTCAGGGTTAAACTCGTTATGAAATCGGTAACCCTGAGTCATCAGTGTGCCTTAAATGTAAACCCTGGCATATCAGGAAAATTCTAGCTCCCGAAAAAATTACCCTAGGCCATCAGTGTGACTACCGAGAACCACCCTGATAATCAGGGTACCAGGGTGATTTACACTGATAAAATTTGCCCTGGCATGTATTCCCTATACAGAGTAAATTCGGTCCCTGAAAAAAAACCCCAGAGGCTTCAAAGTAACCTACAGCATAACTCTGACAAATCAGAGAAATCTTAAGTTCCAAAAAAAAAACCCAGCGGGTACAGAGTTACTTTAAAAAATGACTCTGATTTTCAGAGAAACAGAGTAATTTATTCTGATAACATGGGGCCTGGTGCGGGTCGCCTTGACGGCCCGGACCGCCAGGACACGGCGCAGCCGTGCAGAGTGGCAGGACATCATCACGTCCCACCTTCTGCATAGCACAGCACAGCGCGGCGCGTGCACGCACTCCCCTCCACACCGAACCTTCCAGATTCCCACTACCATCACACACCCTCCCTGGACACCCCACCGGGACGGGAAGCTCTCACAGCAACGCTCTGCAGACAAGCAGAGTATTTTCTACAAGCTCAGCCACTGTCTCACCACCACTCAGCTCCCGTCTGAGTGTCTAGCTAGCTAGCCACATCCCGTTTTCTTGTCCATGGCGGCTGACGTTCTTTGTCACGATGACGACGAGGCCGGCAAGCCTCGTTCCGACTCTCCCCCGAGAACAGGTCTCAGCTTTCTGAGGCCTTTTGTGGTTCCCATTACCGAGTCTGTCCAGACGCGGGCAGATCCGCCCTCCCTACCCACTACTGGTTCCAATGCAACGACCCCAGAACCTGCCGCTGCCGGCCCATTGTTAGCGGCAGTTTCCCCAGTCTAAACATGAAAGGGTGAAAACAATGTGCACACTGATGAGCAAGAGTACCTTTCCAGCTGACACTGATAAAAAAGTCTGACATGGCTGACCCACCCTTACCCAAAGACCAACTTCAGCGAACTGGCCTTGCGAGTAAGAGTGCCCCAAATCCTATCCAGAGGCCTGGCACAGACACATCATAGTACAAGCTTCGCTAGTGTGGGCTCCACTACAGGTTTGAGCAGCTCAGGGCGTTTGAAGCGGTACTCCTGTTTGATCGCCTTTGCTGTTGCCTCCACCAGTCCTTCTGGTTCGCCCTCCACCGCTGCTGCCCCCCTTGATGGCTTGCCTGCTGAGCGCAGCGCTGCTGATGCCTGCACAACATGCACCACAGATGGGAGAGCATGTAAGAAGTTGGCATAGGGTTGGAAACACGGCCACCGGCCCCTCCCTCTGGTACGCCCTCCACCGCTGCTGCCCCCCTCGTGATGGATTTCCCTCGTGACATGCACCACATTAGGAGAGAGCATGTAAGAAGTTGGCATGGGGTTGGAGACAAGGGCACCGGCCTCGGGCTCGCCCTCCACTACTGCTGCTCCCCGTGATGGCTTGCCTGCTGAGCGCAGCGCTGCTGATGCCTGCAGCCATGCACACGTGCACAGCAACCCCTGCATGGTACCAGTAGCACTCAATTGCAAACAGCTAACATGCTGTGAATTGTAACACACTTTTCCTAATACAACAATCTGCCCTCACCATGCAAGTGCCATAGAGCGCCCTCAGGTTGGTCCCTCCGCTGTACTCAAAAGACTTTAGAGTCAACTCAAAGTCACATCTTACAGTGCAAGTGCCATATAGCGATGGTTCGGCTCCCCATCTATTGAGTATAGAATCTGAGAGTAGCGCTCACCATGCAAGTGCCATAGAGCGCTCTCAGGTTGGTCCCTCCACTGTACTCAGTGGCAGCAGCATAGTGTGATATGGCCTGCCGATAGTTCTCTGCTCCGCCTATCGAATAGAGAATCTGGGAAAACAAGGAACGAGGAGCGAGAAAAAGAGATTTCAATGAAAGATAGACACCAGATCACAAAAGTCAGAAAAAAAAAAAGAACCATTTCCTCTCCCCTTCCCCCCTGAGGCTCTTCCTGCATGAGTCATGGAGAGATGGTGGTGTTAGGGATGAGCAAAGGGCGAACACGAACATGTTCGTCTTCGCCCCTTGTCGAACACCCTCTTTTGCCGAACCGAACAGTGTTCGGTTCGGCGAACAGTTTAGGAAAAAACAGGTGTTCGCTGTTCGCCTGTGGAGGCGTGTTCGGGCGAACCTCGAACACTGTTCGTGTTCGTCGCGGGCAAATTTCAGCAGCGGCCCGAACACGAACGTGTTCGGGCGAACATCGAACACTGTTCGGCGAACGATTTGAGCTAAAAAACAAAACCTGTTCGGTTCGCCTCGAACGTGTTCGAGGCGAACCGAACAGGTGTTCGCCACCTTGCTCATCCCTAGGTGGTGTGGTGAGAACAAGGGTCAAATGCACCTTCCACTTAACTTTCTTCCAAGCTTCCCCTCCCTCTCCCCGTCCCCCCTCCCCGTCTCCATCCCCCTGCCCCTCCTACACCCTTACCCTCCCCCCTCCCCCTCCCACTCCCCCTCCCCCCCCCTCACCCCTCATTCATTTCCCCCTCACTCATTCCCCCCTCACTCATTCCACCCTAGGAACATGAGCAGGTGCATCAAAGAACAACACGGACTCAGCGTCATGAACACACTCACAAGGCCACTAGAAATAACACTGAATACCACTGTGCACCGCTTCATGTCTCCCAGCAACTGGGGCATGACTGCGGTGCCACACTATATCACTCAGTAGCACCCTGCACCACAAAGCAAACCTCTGCACCGCTCAGTACAACTCACTACCTTAGCATTCGTGACATGGTAGATGAGGTTGATAGGAGCTGACAGCACCACTCTGCACCACTCAGCATCACTCAATACCTCAGCATAAGTCACATGGTAGATGGGGTTAACAGGAGCTGACAGCACCACTCGGCACCACTCAATACCTCAGCATAAGTGACATGGTAGATGGGGTTGACAGGGGCTGACAGCAGCAGCTCCTCGTAGCAGAACGCTGCTTGCTTGAACCTGGGAGGTGCGGCAAGAAGAGATGCGTGGAAGAAGCGGGGCGGACAGGAGAAACATGAGTGGGGGAGAATGGGAGCAGGGTAAAGGATGGGTGAGTCTGGGAGGTGACAACGGCAACTCCTCGTAGCAGAACGCTGCTTTCTTGAACCTGGGAGGTATATCGAGCAGAGAGTAGGGTACAAAGATGGATTTGAGCTGGCAGCAGCAGGTGCTCATGGCCACATGTTTCCTGCATGAGCCTGGAGGATGAATGAAGGGAGCACATGGCAGAAGCGGGAAAGGTAAGCAAAGAAAAGGGCTCATCCAACACCCGTCCTCGACTCGCTCTAGTTTGCGAGAGTCTCCGTTGTTGTCACCCTCTTAGTCGCCCCTACCTGTGTCGCTCCTGTGCTGCACTTTATATTGCTTCATCTCTTTCTGGGAGTCAGGAGGAGGTGGAGGGCGTGAGAGAGCTGGGGTCCTGCTAGCTAGCTTCGGAGCGGACGCCATGGAAGGTAGGCACGCTGGGGTTCGCGCCAGTTAAAACTGGTTACGAGCTTGGCTTGTTCATGCATGCTGCCTATGTGGAAAAAAAAACCTGCCTCAATTCGTGTATCATCAACAGTCGTTCGTTTGTCTCATGTCTAGTTCGTGCTAGATCAATCCAATCAGCCTTGAGTAGCAGGGTTGAGTAAGGTGGGTAAGGTTGAGGGCTACTACTGAAGGCTGATTGGATTGGTCCAGCACGAACCAGACATGAGACGAACGAAGCCGACTGTTGATGATACACGAATTGAGGCAGTTTTTTTTTCCACATAGGCAGCATGCATGAACAAGCCAAGCTCGTAACCAGTTTTAACTGGCGCGAACCCCAGCGTGCCAACCTTCCATGGCGTCCGCTCCGAAGCTAGCTAGCAGGACCCCAGCTCTCTCACGCCCTCCACCTCCTCCTGACTCCCAGAAAGAGATGAAGCAATGTAAAGTGCAGCACAGGAGCGGCACAGGTAGGGGCGACTAAGAGGGTGACAACAACTGAGACTCTTGCAAACTAGAGCGAGTCGAGGACGGGTGTTGGATGGGAGCAAAGAAAAGCCGCTATTCGGGGTGGCAGAAGGGCGAAAAAGATTTGGAAGGTGGAAACCAAGAGCGCTTGTTGATACACCATGGTCCTTGCTTGCTGCTCAACCACGGAGGAAGGAAAAGCGTGCAAGAGGCAAGGAGGAATGGAGGGATGGGAGATGGAACGATGGTCGAGATCGAATCGAATAACGATGTGGATAAAGATGACAAGCAGACTCCTTTATATGCAATTCCCGAAGATGACTAGAACACAGCACTGTCACCTAGCCACTGCGACATGCATGCATATGTGAAGGCAAGGGTTCATGCATGTGTATGTGAAGGCATGGCGACATGCATGCGCATGTGAAGGCATGGCGGCATGCATGTGTATGTGAAGGCATGGCGGCATGCATGTGTATGTGGAGGCATGGTGGCATGCATGTGTATGTGAAGGCATGGCGGCATGCATGTGTATGTGAAGGCATGGCGGCATGCATGTGTATGTGAAGGCATGGTGGCATGCATGTGTATGTGAAGGCATGGCTGCATGCATGTGCAAACTAACACAGCAATGGCATGAGCACATCCCAACGCACATGTGCAGCGAGATATAGAGGTCCCCTAGCTCCTTCCATGCCTCATAATCCGCCATGTAACTGGAAGGAGGGAGAATGCGGAGGGGAGAAAAGGTGGAGGAGGAGAGAAGGGAGGGCAGGATACATGTGCCACGAGAGCAACACATAGCTCCTTTCATGCCTCATAGTCTGCCATGTAACTGGAGGAAGAAGAGGGGAGGGGAGGGCGAAGCGGGTCAGGGGGATAAAGAGGGACAGGCTTATTATTTGAGTTGCAGGAGTGAGCACGCACGGTATAGGTCCCCTAGCACCTTCCACGCCTCATAGTCCACCATGTAGCTGGAGGGATGGGAGAGGAGGGGAGGGAGAGAAGGATGGGAGAGCAAGGAGGAGGGGAGGGAGAGAAGGATGGGAGAGCAAGGAGCTACGTTGCTAAATACAAGTACCGAGTATAATACGTTAGCGTATTATACGCTTGGTATATACGCGGTACGCCAAGGCTGGCGTACTGCTGATACGCAAAAATACGCTGGCGGTCAGCTAAAACTTTTTTCCCGGGCAGTTATAAAAAAACCTGTTTCAGGGGGGGGGGTTCAGGCCGACAACAACACATGTCAATATTTTATTTCATAAATATCCAGAAATACATAGTTCATCCACATAATCCCCACTCTCTAGCGAGCTTCCCCACAGCCTATTTCCTTGCGGGGCTTTTCCACCACCACCCCTTCCCATACTCATCCGCCAGCACTGCATCATCTCCTTCCCCCCCCAGCAGGTCATCCTCCTCCTCCTCGTCCATGTTGTAGCCGCGGGGGATAGGGGCATCCGGGATGTTCCCGGGCACAACCGTGCTGGCCCCATCCTTGTTGTACCAATTGCGCACAACGTTCCAGTAGTGCGCAATGTAAACCAGGTCCGCACACTTGGCGGACCCGAGGCGGTTGCGGCGGGCGGTGTGGACGCCTTCCCACTGCGCCCAGCCACGTTCGCATGAAGAAGCCGAGACGGGCTGAGTGAGAATCCGGCATGCGAGGGTGGCAAGCTCAGGGTACTCGGTGGTGTGCCACGACCACCACTGCACCATGCTCATCTCCCCTTTCTTCACTGCCTCCCTTGCAGCTATGGCGCTTAGCTTGCCAAAACTGCCCTCCAAGTTGATGTAGGCCAGCAATGCCTCCTGCAGCACAAGGGAGGCACGGCGAGGGGCACCATCCTTGCCGCGCCTGAAGGTGACGTGGTCATAGTGGCGCTCGATGTAGTCCTTGAACACCCTCGTGCACTCCACATCGTTCCTGAAAATTCCCTCCTCCTGGTTGGCCGGATTCAGGATCCGGCCAACCACATGCATGGGGCAGGCAAGGGAGTTGTCCCACCTGTCCTTCACAATCTTGGTGATGTCTGCCCTCTCTGTCCGAGTCAAGAAGTCGCCTGAAGCGTCGAGCTTGTCATTGATGTTCTCGGTAAGCTGTAGCATAATGTCATACAGCTTACCCATCATGCCTTTCGCGGAAGAGTCCGTGGCCCGCATGGCCTTGAATGGCACCGACATGAGAGAGGAAAAGAACTCTGCCACCCCCCACCACTCCTAAGTTGGAATATACGCTACTTTCATTTTGCGTTTTGCGTTTATACGCTTGTCGAATTCGTACGTTGCGTATAGTTTGAAAATTCGCCGAGTTGAATTTCAGGCAGACCGAAAAAAAACAAAATTTCAATCTGAAGCTCGCGACGTGGCGATCTCAATTCCAAGTCGCAGATGTCGCGAAATGAACTCAAATTTTGAATTTCGAGCACCAAACCTCATCAACCCCTCCCCTCAAACGTTTCACACCCCTTTGAACCACAGCATTCCACCATCCCCTCCAAGTGCTACTTTACTGGTTGGGAGCTCAACCCAACCCAATCTCCCAGGCAGAAAGAGAGGCGTTTGTTCCCTCAACATTCATTCTCTCGCTTCCTATTCTAGCTATCTCCTTTCCCAAGCCACCATGGCTTCCACTCCTACAGCAACCACTTCTCGTACGCCACCCTCAGAGTCTCCTGGTAGTTCCGCTGGTGGGACCTCTTCTAGTACGTCTTTGGTCTGCATGGACAGCAAGCACGCAGTCTACCGTCACTTCAAGGTGCCGGCCAATAGCGTTGGCGAGAACGGCACCAAGGTGTGTGCCTACTGCAACTTCACGTTTGTTGGCGGGGTTCACCGTTGCGCGCAGCATATCACCAGCTGGAACGGCATGCGCCGTCGCGAAGTGCATCTCTGCACTGCAGCGCCGAAGACTGCACGTGACGCCGTGAAGGCGCTTTACGAGTCCAAGTTGAAGGCCCGTGAAGCGAAGCGTGCGGCTGAAATTGCGGCGGTCGGCGCAGTCAACGGCAGAGGTTCGGACAAGAAGAAGAGTCGGATGACCGACTTCTGCGGCGACGACGCCGCGTGCGTGAACCAAGCTGCGGACGAGGCCATAAGCCTCTTCTTTGCCGCTCTTCATGTGCCGGAGCATCACGCGGACCACCCACTGTGGCGGAATGTGGTCTCCAGCATCCAGCGCGCGGGGCCGAATTACGTCGCGCCGAAGAGACGCTACATCGGTGGCGCCGGTCTTGCAAAGTGTCGCCAGCGCATTGAGGCGGCGCTCGCTCCTATCTCAGCAAGCTGGCGCCGTGACGGTGTCACCGTGGCAAGCGACATGTTCTTCGACAAGGCCGGCCGCCCGCAAGCCAACGTGCTCCTCATCAACGATAGCGGTGCGGTGTTTGTGGAGTCGATCGACACGAAGATGGAGATGAAGACCGGGGGCTACATCGCGGGCATCTTGCGGCCCATCATCGAAAAGGTCGGCCCCGAGAATGTCGTCGCCTTGTGTTTTGACGGCGGCTCCAACTACGCGGCGGCATGCAGGGTGTTGATGCGCGAGTATTCCCACATTGAACACATCCCTTGCGCGACCCATGTCCTCGATCTCCTGATGGAGGACATCGGGAAAAAGGGATGGGCGAAGGACATCGTCACGCGCGGGGACACTCTCATCTCGTTCGTCCGCAACCATCACTTCACCCGGGGATACATGCGGAGTCCGCTCGTGAACGGCGGCAAGGGGAAACAGGTTCTCAAGCCCGCGGGAACCCGATTCGGCACCAACTACATCGCCATCAACCGCCTCTGTGAAGTGCGCGCCGGCCTGACGCAGATGGTCCTCAGCGATGAGTGGATCGAGTGGACTGCGGCTGTAGACAGGGCTGGGGCAGACACATTCAAAGACAACATCCTTGATGCCGCGTGGTAGACGCGCGCCGAGTTCTTCGCTAAGCTGATGAGGCTGCCATTCGTCGTCATGCGCAAGACTGACTCGGATTCGAAGGGCATGATGGGTCGTCTCTACGACCTCATGCTCCAGCTCACCGAGGACATCCGCGACTTCCTCGACGAGCATGCGGAAGGGGTCCTGATAAGCGACGAGGTGGGGGATATTCGGGAGATCGTGTAGGACCGCTGGGACAACGGGCTGGCGTGCAACCTGCACGTGATTGGCCGCATCCTCTACCCCACCAACCAGGAAGAGTGCATTTTCCGCACCGACTTGGAGTGCACGAGGGTCTTCAAGCAGTACGTCTCCAAGCACCATGGTGACAAGACGGTCACCAGGAAGGACGAGGTCGAGCACCGCGCCTCTCTCGTCATCCAGGAAGGCCTCAATGCCTTCCTGAACCTCCAAGGCAGTTTCGGCATGCCCGACGCTATTGCCGACCGCCAGGCAGTGAAGGAGGGCAAGATGACGGCGGTGGACTGGTGGACATGGCACGGGACCGATCATCCTGAGCTCACCACCATGGCTTGCCGCGCCATCACGCAGCCGGTGTCTGCGTCTCCATGTGAGCGTAACTGGGCGAAGTTTGATGCAGTGCATACGGCAAGGAGGAACCGCCTCGGCGCGGTGAAGCTTCGTGACCTGGTGTATGTGACGCACAATTGGCAGGTGGTGCACAACTGGCACAAGGCCCGTGAAGGCCTGGGGGTGGTGAAGGGAAACATCGAGGACCCCCCCACTCCGGCTGGCTATAACGTCCCGGAGGAGGTGGAGGAACCTGAGGAGGGGGAGGATGATGTGATGGCAGATGAGTACTAGTGGATGGAAGGCTCCATGCATGAGCGGCAGGCAGGGGATGGAGGGTGGACCTGAGTAGAGTAGGGGATGGGGGGGTAGTAGCATGATTAAGGTGGGTGAAGTTGTAGCGGCAGATTAGTCTTAAGGGTTTTTTTTTCCTGTAATTTTCATATTAATACAAAGGGGATGGGGGTTACAACACCCCCCCATCCCCACCTCTTACCCCAAAAATCTGCTCGGGGAAAACTTTTTTCCTGCCCGGGCAAGTGGATTCTTGTGCGTACCAGACCCCTCAGGGACTGCGGTTTGCGTATATACTCTAGCGTTTATACAGCAAGCGTACAAAACACTAAACGCGTATATTCCAACTTAGCACCACTCCTCATCCATCACAGCAGCCCTGAATTTCTCGGCTGCAGTCTTCCTATCCTTGTCCCCCGCTGCCCACACCTTCCACTCGTCGCTGAGCACCATCGCCGCCAGCCCACTCCTCACCTCACATAGCCGGGCCATGGCTATGTATTGTGTCCCGAACCTGGTTCCCGCAGGCTTGAGCACCTGCTTCCCCCCCACTTTCTTCATATAGGCACGGGTGAAGTGGTGGTTGCGCACGAAGGTAATCATCTCCCCTCCTTTCTCCACAAGCCCCTTCGCCCATCCCATTTTGCCCACATCTTCCATTAACAGGTCCAGGACATGCGTGACACATGGCACATGCTAAATGTGCGGCCATGTGCCCGCAATCTTCCGCGCTGCCGATGCATAGTTGCTGCCGCCATCAGTGCAGACCGCCACCACATTCTCCGGCCCCACCTTATCAATGACGGGGCGGAGAAGGCTGGCGATGTAACCCCCCGTCTTCGACTCCATGTTGCAGTCCACGGCCTGCTCGAAAACTGCGCCGGAGTCGTTGACAAGGAGTATGTTGGCCTGCGGGCGGCCACAACGGTCGGTCATCATGTCCGACGACACGGTGACACCGTCCCGCTTCCAGCTCGCGGCAACGGGGGCGAGCGCTGCCTCCATTTTCTGCCGCACTTTCTTCAAGCCCGCCCCTCCAACGTAGCCCCTCTTGGGGGGAACATACCCCGGTCCTGCGCGCGCAAAGCACTAGACCGCGTAGCGGAAGACCGGATCATCCACGATGCGCTCTGGAAGCTTCAGCACCGAGATCGTTAGGCAAAGCGCGTTATCCGCGTCCTCCTTGGCGCACGTTGCCTCGTCGCCGAAGAATTCTGTTATCTTCCCCTTCTTCTCCGCACAAGCAGTGACCGCGCCCAGCACGGAGTCGAGTGCTGCAGCAGCCGCCCCTCGTTTCATGCTCTTGTTTTCCTCCTTGTTTTCGTACATGGCACGCATTTATTCACGGACTTTCGGGGACACGTCCTTGCAAAGCCTGACAGGGCGTCCATCTTGCCCTTTCCATTTGGCGAGGTGAACTGCGCAGCGAGTGGTTCCGCCCTCAAACTTGAAGCCACAAAACTTACAAATCTTGGGATTGCCTTTGGTGTGGGGGGGAATAAGAAAATGTTTCAGAATGGGGTTCGAAAGGCCAGCCTCAATAGGCTGCGTGTTGATCGCACTACTAGACGCGTGACCAGAAGCTACATTGCTCGTCGCGCTAGGAGGAGTGGAGTTCGACGCCATGGGGCGCGACTAAGGAACGGTAAACTGCTTGAGGAAAACGGGAGATCAGAGCTCGGGAATGAAATTGAGGAGAGAAACGAATGAAGGATAGGAAGGCGTCAACAAGTAAATGCTCACATGACGTGCTGGACATTTGAGAGGGGTGGTTGGATATGAGAGGTTTGGTGGGGTGGTGTGTGGTTGGGGTGGTGAGAGGTTTGGATTCTGAAATTTGAATTTCAGACGTGGGTTGGGCGATGTGCTTGGTCGCGTAACCAGTCGCGAAGCCCTAATAACCGTCGCATTTTTTTTTCAATTTCGATTTTTTTTTTTTCCGCCGGGCTGCCCGCGCGTTTTTTCACGAATTCGAAGCGTATTAGCGTACCACGTACGTACGCAATCGTATATACGTGGTACGCCACCCTACCCAGAGCGTATTTGGCAACGTAGGCGAGGAGGAGGGGAGGGCGAGGAGGAGGGGGATGGGAAAGGGGAGGAGGAGGACAAAGGGTGGTAGAAACCCTTTATAACAGCTGTTGTTAACACGTATCACTGCACTCCCACACCACTGCACTCCCACACCACTGCACTCCCACACCACTGCAGCACCCTGCACCGCTGCACTCCTGCACTGCTGCACCCCACACCGCTGCACCCCACACCGCTGCACCCCACACCGCTGCACCCCACACTGCTGCACCCCACACCGCTGCACCCCACACCGCTGCACTCACGCACCGCTGCACCCCACACCGCTGCACCCCACACCGCTGCACCCCACACCGCTGCACTCACGCACCGCTGCACCCCGCCAGCCTCACATCTCGAGGCGCTGCTTGTGTGCAGCGATGGCTCCCACTGTGTTTCCCTTGCCCTTTCAGCACCGGTTGGCAGCAGGACATGCAGCAGTGGGCACTTCTCAGCACTCTCTCCGACACCACTGCATTCCCACCCCACTGCACTCCACCACTCCGTACCCCTACACTCACGTTTCGAGATACTTCTTGAGAGCGCTGATGGCCCCCACCGTGTTGCCCTTGCCTTTCAGCACAGCAACTTGACGCTTCAACACTTGCTGGCAGCGCGGAGATGTGCACGAGAGAGGAGCAGCAAGAAAAAGGGAGAGAGACGACAGAAAAGGTGTTTGGTTGGATGGCTGCTGCTGAAGTGATGTCCTTGCTCTTGAGCACTGCCATGTGGCATTCCAACACTGGATGAGGGGGGATGAAGGAAGAGCAGAAAGAGCAGGCGGAAAGAGAATATCAAACAATCACTTCCTTCGCTACAGAAGAGAGCAGGCACACGCTCTCACCCACCGGGTCCTGAGAGTTGCTCTCCAGCAAGTCAGAGTAGACCTTGTCCGCCTGATCGCACCACCCCTTCTTGAGTCTTGACCGTGCAACAAGAGAGGAAAGGGAAATAAGCACACTCAATTGATCTGTGGCCAGGCACACACACCTGGTCCTGCGGGTTGCTCTCCAGCAGGTCACTGTACACCTTGTCCGCCTGATCCCACCACCCCTTCGCCTCCAGCCACATGCCCTCCAACCGCCCTGCACCGCACACGATACAGGGGGGAAAAGACAGGAGAGAGGAGAGGAGAGGAGAGGAGAGGAGAGGAGAGGAGAGGAATGGAGAGGAGAAGAGAGGAGAGGAAAGGAGAGGAGAGGAGAGGAGAGGAGAGGAGAGGAGAGGAGAGGAGAGGAGAGGAGAGGAGAGAAAACGAGAGGAGAGGAGAGGAGAGGAGAGGAGAGGAGAGGAGAGCAGAGTAGAGGAGAGCAGAGGAGAGGAGAGGAGAGGAGAGGAGAGGAGAGGAGAGGAGAGGAGAGGAGAGCACCAGGTGCAAGGTCAGTGAGTCATGCCATAAGTAACAAAGGCCAAACGGTGATGGCCGAGTGGTGCAAGGTAGTGAAATGTAGTGCAAGCGGTGCAAAAAGCCTTAGGCGTGGTTGAACGGAGTGGGTTGGGTGCAGCAGAGCGCGGTGAAGTGCGGTGCAGTGACTCACCCACGCGAGTGCTATTGGGGAATGCGATCATGAGGGCTCCTATGCACTCCTGCCATATCATCCACACAATGCAAAGAACGCAAGTAGGTGTTAGGAGCGGTGCAATGGGGTTTGCATGGTAAAATGCGATCATGAGAGCTCCTATGCACTCCTGCCATGCACAGCACCCAGAGGGCATGTACAGCTGTGGTTATGAGCGGTGCACTGCGGTTTGCATGACAGCATGCAGACTTCGTAGTCCCAATGCTACGCGCAGCTGGTGGCATTGCTGGCATGGCAGCGCCGCAGCACACCAGCAATGCCAACCGTATTTTGAAGTTGACTCAAACAGCAACAACCCCTACTTTTTTTTGTCTTTTCAACAAAACCACCAGCTTGGGGGAGGGGGGTGGGTGTGGAATGAGTGACCCATCCATGACATGCCTGCTCCTTGCAACAGAGCCTCCATGCTCCCCTTCCTTCCCCTCCCCTTCTCACACTCCTTCTCCTGCACCCCTCCCCATGCCCCCCTCCCCATGCCCCCATCCCCATGCCCCCCTCCCCATGCCCCCCTCCCCATTGCCCCCTCCCCATGCCCCCCTCCCCATGCACCCCTCCCCATGCCCCCCTCCCCATGCCTCCCTCCCCATGCCCCCCTCTCCATGTCCCCCTCCCCACGCCTCCCTCCCCACGCCTCCCTCCCATGCCTCCCTCCCATACCCCTCTTCCCATACCCCCCCTTCCTATACCCCCCAGCTGCTGGCAGTCCATTGCCTGCACAATCGCCACCTGCTGCTTACGGCACCCGCCCCATGGCATCCTTCCATGTGCCCCCCAAACTCCTTTGACCGGACGTCTCAGGCTGGGGGTACTTTTGAGGCGCCTCAAATGCTGCTTACAGCACCCGCCCCATGGCATCCTTCCATGTGCCCCCCAAACTCCCACCCCCCTCCCCATGCCCCACCCTACCCGCCTCCCCCCCTCCCCCACCTCACCTTGGCGATGCCCAGCTGCTGGCAGTCCATGGCTGCAATCGCCACCTGCTCCATCACATCCCACACTGTCAACAGTGCAGTGCGGTGCCACACAGTGAAAGACGGTGCAGGAGGGGACGAAGGGGTGTGGAATGGACGGGTGAATGGACGGCATAGGGGATGCAGCAACGTGACGTGAGGCATGCATGGCGCATGATGGGGTACACCATGCCACGTCATGCCATCGCACATCATTCCATGCCACGACATGCCATCACGCATCATCCCATGCCACGTCATGCCATCGCACATCATCCCATGCCACGTCATGCCATCGCACATCATTCCATGCCACGTCATGCCATCGCACATCATTCCATGCCACGTCATGCCATTGCACATCATTCCATGCCACGTCATGCCATCGCACATCATTCCATGCCACGTCATGCCATCGCACATCATTCCGTGCCACGTCACGCCATCGCACATCATTCCATGCCACGTCATGCCATCGCACATCATTCCATGCCACGTCATGCCATCGCACATCATTCCATGCCACGTCATGCCATCGCACATCATCCCATGCCACAACACGCCATCACACATCATCCCATGCCACAACACGCCATCGCACATCATTCCATGCCACATCATGCCATCGCACATCATTCCATGCCACGTCACGCCATCGCACATCATCCCATGCCACGTCACGCCATCGCACATCATAGGCTGGGAGGGTGAAACACAGGGAATGAGGCACAGCGGGCACATGAAGACACCACGTTATGAGGCACCACAAGTCAGCACCCTGTCTGTTGTATTAACCCCTGTTATAAGCCTCCTCACCTTCGTCCCCCAGCTTGCTCCTCTCATCCGCGCTGTTAATCAGAGCCATGTTATACTCCTTACAAGCACTCTCCCATACCCCTTATAAGCCTCCTCACCTTCGTCTCCCAGCTTGCTTCTCTCGTCTGCGCTGTTAATGAGCGCCATGCCATACTCCGCCACTTGAAACGGCCGCCGCAGCCGCAGCCGCCGCACCTCCCGCAGGTACTTGGCGCATGTCTTGTGGGTAGGAGAGGGGGAGGGAAGACGGGGAAGGGACAATGAGGGAGGCAAGGACTAAGCACACAGCCGCCGCACCTCCCGCAGGTACTTGGCACAGGTCTTTGGGGGGGGGAGACGGAGGGGGCAGTGGGGGGAGGGAAGGACCATTAAGGCGGAGCAGAGGGGGAGGGGAGGCCTTAAACCGCAGCCTCCGCACCTCCTGCAGGTACTTGGCGCACGTCTTTGGGGGGGGGGGGGGGGGACGGAGGGGGGCAGGGAGGGGAGGAAAGGATTATTAAGGGGGAGCAGAGGGGGAGGGGAGGCCTTAAGCCGCAACCGCCGCACCTCCCGCAGGTACTTGGCGCAGGTCTGAAGAGGGTGGTTAACAGTGGGGGGGATAGGGAGGAAAAGGAGGAGGAGGAGGATAAGGATGAGCAACAGACACGTGGTGGCGATGCGTCAAGCACCAGCCGCCGCACCTCCCTTTCACCAGCAAGACTTGGTGCATGTCTGCTGGGGGGAGGAGGGAGGGAAAGGGGAAACGGGATGGAGGAGGAAGGAGGGAAAGGGGAAACGGGGAGGAAGGAGGGCGAGGCCTTAACACACAGTCACGGCGCCTCCCGCAGGTACTTGGCGCATGTCTGGGAGATGGGGGAATGGAGTGGGAAGAAGGGGTGGGGAGCGGGGGTGGGGGAGGGAAGAGGTGTGGGGTGGAAAGGCGTGGGTGGGGGAGTGATAGAGGATGAAAGACAGTCAAGCGGCGGAGAGGCCTCGAGTAAGCAGCCGCCGCACCTCGCGCGGGTGCTGGGCGCATGCGGAAGGCGGTTGAGGGGGAAGGGTGGGGGGGGATGTGCGGGAGGGAGACGGGCAGCACGATGACAGCTGCCGCCGCGCCTCGCGCCGGTGCTGGGCGCATGTGAGAGGAACAGGAGGTGGGGGAGGTGCGGGCGGAGAAGAGACGCGAGGCGAATACGCGAATCCTTCGATCCGTGGGCTGCGCACCACAACCCACCCCTCCCCCCCCCCCCTTCCCCTCCACCCCTCTTCCCCCTCTCCCCATCCCCCACCCAAAAAGCCACAAACTAGCTCTGAATGACGCGATTCCCCACGGATTCGGCTAACAAGGCAAGTGGACGATCACTAAGAGAGTACCTCAGGACCTCCGCCGCGTTTACCGGCGATCGGCTTTAATTGCCTTTCCAGAGACTCTAACTCCTTAAGCTCCTTAGCCGAGATCATGGTGGTGGTTGCGAGGAGTGGTGACCTATACGAGTTAGTTGAGGGGAATGATCTCGCCGCGCTTCGAAGGAGGTGTATGGAGACAGGCAAAGGCAATTGAGTAGACTAGGCAGTGCCTGATACTCCAATATATTAATTTGCATAATCACAACATAGCCACTACACCGCGTCCCGAACGGCCGTGGAAGAGATTCGGATCGTGGGTTTACAGTTCTTGCAACGTGGTTCAGAACGTTCCAACACGGTGAAAAGCGGTTCTCGAAGTCTACCGCTCTGCACTGTGTTGAAACGAAGTTAACCGCAGTGGGCGTACAAAAAGTTGTACAACCTGACGTCGACCTAAGATCCAAAAAGTCTAGGTGGGTCACGTTCCTGATTCGTCAAATGCGGTCAAGTACGTTAAAACGTGATAAAAAAACGGTTTGCGGCGGTGAAAACTAAGAAATTTTTTCAACCCATTTCTAACGTACCAGACCACATTACACGAACCAGGTACGTAAAACCGTGACCCGCCCAAAGCTAATGGATCTCGCGACATTGGCGAAAACACTGAGTTTCGCGGTTCCAACGCATTGTCTGGATCGTGCAACACTGGGTGCACCATTGGTGAGGTGCTCGCCGGAGTTCGCTTGGTTGCGAGAACAGAAACCTGAACATTGCATTTCATCCGGTTTACATCGCGTTCATGTTTGATTTTGCGAACGATCATCATTGACGAGATCTGTCAACGAGCTTTCGTAAAAAGTTACCATCACCTCGTCGACACAGGGTGAGTTCGTCAGCCTATGAGTGTTCGTTCCCTGCCTGACGCGCAAAGTTCAAAATTCACCACGGTCCGCAATTTGTGACCAGGAGTGTCACGAGTTCGACCCATACCCCTGCAGACTACCCTAGGGTTAGGAACGCGGCGCCGCGACCTTGCATACGCCCCGTTCCGCCCAGTGGTCTAGGGCAGGCGGCGTAACTGATTTCCGTGTTCGCGTTCACGCGATACACGGGCAAGGTTCTGATCCTTTACAAGCTGCTGCGGTAGAGACCTGGCACCTAGCTGCGTCGCGGGGAGCGCCCGGTAGCGCGCGAGGAGTACCTGACTCTACGGGATAACGAGCTGAGGTCTCGATTAGTCAACTAAGCGGCGAGCTCAGTCGCGAGGTGACTCCTCACTGCGAAGCCCGTTCCATTACCGATTCCCTCTAAACGCGGTGCGTTCCGCTGCGATCTCCCCCCCACCCCTCCTCGTTTCTTTTCTCACAGTAGTGACGGCAGGAATCACCCCTGTCGCGTCGTGAATGAATGCATTCGGAGTTTTCTGACACCGCTCCCTACATTGGTGCGACTTTTGGGAATTCTCAAAATTCGGAGTTTCCTGATACTGCTCCCTCCGACCCTTCCCCGCCAACCTTCTTTCCCTTCTCCTCCCCCCACCCCCCTCCCCGCCCCTTTTTGAGGCGCCTCAAAAGTCGCCCCTGTCGCGAGTGAATGCATTCGGAGATTTCTGATACCGCTCCCTCCAATCCTTCCCCGCCAACCTTCTTTCCCTCCCCCCTCCACCGCGCCCCCACCCCCCCCCCCCCTCGCCTCCCCCTGTCCAGGCAGCATGCAGAGCCTGGAAGAGCGTCAGGAGAAGCAGGAGAGCAGAGCACGCCATTTCAAGGCCCCTCTTCGCCCTGGCATGCGATCTGTCTAGCCCGCCCGTCCCGTCCGTCTCGCCGCTCCCCTCCAGGCAGCATGCAGGGCGTGGAACAACGCCAGGAGAACCACAAGAGCTTGACGAGGCACCTTAAAGCCCCTCCTCGCCCGTCCATGCGATCTGTCCAGCCCTTCCCTCCCAGCCCCTCCCCTGCCCGGCCCACCAGGCAGCATGCAGGGCGTGGAAGAACGCCAGGAGAAGAACAGCAAGAGCCCCGCAGGCTATCCCCAACCCTCCTTTCCCGGCCAACCGTCTCTCCCCTCCCCCTCTCCCCCGTCCCTCCCCCGTCCAGGCAGCTTGCAGAGCGTGGAAGAACGCCAGGAAAAGCACAACAAGAGCCCCGCGAGCTATCCTCAACCCCCCCTTCCCTGCCAACAGTCTCTCCCCTCCCCTCTCCCCCTCTCCCCCCCCTTCCACGCAGCATGCAGAGCGTGGAGGAGCTCCGGGAGAACCTGGTGAGCTGGTTTTTCTTCCTTGCCCCCACTCCTCACCATCCCCTTCCCATTTTCCCGCATCCCCCCCCTCTCCTCCTTTCAAGTCCCCTCCGCCGCCTGTCCAGGCAGCATGCAGAGCGTGGAAGAGCTCCGGGAGAACCTGAACAGGTATCTGGAGCAGCTAGAGCAGGGACAGTTGTGAGCATGCACGCACGCACGCACCCACTCACCCCCTCCCGTCCCCGCCTACCTCTCCCCCCCTCCCCCCCCCGCCCCCCTCTTCCAGGCAGCATGCAGAGCGTGGACGAGCTCCGGGAGAACCTGAACACGTACAGGGAGCAGCTAGAGCAGGTGAGTGGGACCATCCGTTGGTGCAGAGGAGAATGATGTAGGGTGGGAAGAAACTGTGGGAATGATGTAGGGTGGGAAGAAACTGGGAGAATGATGTAGGGTGGGAAGAAACTGTGGGAGCAACTGGAAGGTGCCTACTAAATCATGTGTTTTTTGAGAATTCTCAAAATACACACGCTAGATCATGAGCGCCCTCTTACCCCGTCTGCTGGTCCGTGCGTCTCTTAATTAAGTATTTTGGTTTCTTGCTTGTTGCTCTGACGCCTGCGATTCCAGCTTCTCTCCTTGGTCATTCCAATGCGTTCAACTGCCCTTTATAACAGGTCTCGGAGTTGCTTATAGAGGATCCTGACAATGACGAGTACAAGGAGATGGCCAGTGGGCTCAAGGAGGTGAGATCTTCTCTTCTCTTCCATTCCAGCACACTTATTGTACCACCTGGTGGCCTCTCTTCTTCTCGTCTCTTCCATTCCAGCACACTTATTGTACCACCTGGTGGCCTCTCTTCTTCTCTTCTCTTCCATTCCAGCACACTTATTGTACCACCTGATGGCCTCTCTTCTTCTCTTCTCTTCCATTCCAGCACACTTATTGTACCACCTGGTGGCCTCTCTTCTTCTCTTCTCTCCTTTTTCACACCTGCTGCTCGCTCGCATGGCTGAGCGATTCAAGTGTCAGTCATTACCTGTTCGCATTCTTTCATTCGCTACAGTGCCAGTCAGCACCCGCTGCTGTATCCTCGCTCTTGACTAAGCTCACTTTCCGCTCTCGTTGTTGTCTCCACTCTCAACCTTCCACGCCCTTCTCCCCCCTCCCCCCCTCTCCCCCCCTTGCTCTCCTCGTCCAGGACATGAAGCACACACGCCACGCACACTCCACTGCACACACACTCCTCATTCCATCTCACGCCATCCCCCCCCTCGAAGCCGAGGGATTAATTCCGAGGTCATCTCTCGGGGGGGTCATCGAGCCCACAGGACCTACCCAGTGCAGCGAAGCAGCAAACGCAGCAGAGACCACCACACACACTCTGCCTGCACACTTCTCATTCCATGCCTCTCCTATCCTCTCCCCCCTCCACCCACCAGGTCATCGAGCATACAGAGGACCTGCTGAGTGCAGCGGAGCAGCAGACACAGGAGGGGGGAACTGCCACACACACTCTGCGCACACCTCATTCCGAATCACTCCATCCTCGCTCATTCCCTCCCCCCTCTGGCAGGTCATTGAGCTCACAGAGGACCTTCTCAGTGCAGCGGAGCAGCAGACACAGGATGAACCGCCATGCACACTCTGGACTCCCCTCATTCCATCTCACTCCTTGTAGTCGGCTTACAAGTCACCTTGGCAATCCCCCTCCCCCCTGGCAAGTCATCGAGCTCACAGAGGACCTGCTCAGTGCAGCGGAGGCACAGGAGGAGACTTCTGAGTCAACTCAAAAGTCAGTGGAGGCATTGGAGGAGCTGCCACACACACTCTGCACACACCTCGTTCCATCTCACTCTATCCTCCCCCTCCCTGCCAGGTCATCGAGCTTACAGAGGACCTGTCCAGTGCAGCGGAGCAGCAGACACAGGAGAAGAGAAGCTGACACGCACATTCACACTCTTCCTCACTCCATTGCACTCCTCGTGACTTCTGAGTCGACTCAAGTCTCCTTGTCCATTCCCATCCACCAGGCAGGTCATCGAGCTCACAGGACCTACCCAGTGCAGAGGAGCAGCACATGCAGGAGCAGCCGCCACACTCCACATTTGTTTTTCCACCTCGTTTCTCGTGACTTTTGAGTCAACTCAAAGGTCTCCTTGTCCATCCTCTTCCTCCCTGGCAGGTCATCGAGCTCACAGAGGATCTGCTCAGTGCAGCGGAGCAGCAGACACAGGAGGAGCCAGCACCGCCAGATGCAGCAGCAGGGGTTGCAACTGCTGTGGTTGCCACTCCGTTTGTCCCCATGGCGTTTGTGCCGGCCGCTTCTGCTGTTGCTGTGAGTGTGTGTGTGAGCATGCCTTCAGCTCAGTTCAATGCACCCTGTCTCTGCTGTCCCCACCCTCTTCCTCTGCATCTGATTCACGTGGGGACACCACGTGCATCGCATGCATCGCCTTTTCTTAGCGCAGTTCAAACGAATCATCGATATTCCGCCCACATCCTCTTTGCACCGCTCTTGAAAAGCCCCTCTCCTGTCCTTTGTCACATACAGTCCAGTCCACCCACGTCAGCATGCCCTCTCTCCCTTCTTCACTCACCCATCCTTCCCTTTCCTTATCCAGACTTCTGAAGTTTTTTAAGCCTCTCAGCACCTCCCTGAGAAAGAGTCGTCACCTTAGCTAATCCAGAACCCTTCCCTTCCCCTTCCCCCGCTTCGTTCTATTTCCATCCTAACGTGCGTTTTCTAGACCACTGATCCGGCAGCTTTAGCAGCAGCAGCAGCAGCAGCAGTGTCGTCTCGGATTGCAGTGGGCACGTCAGTGCAGGCGGCGTGGGGAGTCACCGCTGGGACTGCTGCTGGTGGCATACGAAGCTCTGAATGGTGAGTGAGAGAGGGGGGGGATGGAGGGCTAGCAGCAGGGGGGGCATCAGCAGCAGGGGTCCCAGCAGTGTCATTTCGGACGTCAGGGCAGGCGGCGTGGGGCGTGACTGCTGGCACTGCAGCTGGCAGCATTCGCAGGTCCGAGTGGTGAGAGAGAGGGTTGGATGGTGGGATGCGAGGGGTTGCTGGGTTGGTGGATGATAGTAGTGATTTTTGCAGAGCACCTTGCAGGCGGCGTGGGTACAAGCGCACAGTGCAGGCGGCGTGGGTACAAGCGCACAGTGCAGGCGTGTGGGGTGTGACTGTCGGCACTGCCTTTGGCTGCATTCGCAGCTCCGAGTGGTGAGATAGAATCACGGCATGGTTGGGTGGGTTAGATGGTGTGGTGGGTGGGTGTATGCAGCAGTGTAGACGGCGTGGGGTGTGACTGCCGGCACAGCACTTCTTCTGGCGGCATTTGCAGTTCCGAGTGGTGAGCGGGATTGAGTGCACACAGCGTGGAGCGTGGTCCTCGCATGTGGTGAGAGGGGATGGTGGTGGGTGACATGCATGGTGGGGAACATGCATTGTGGGTGACATTCATGGTGGGGGACATGCATTGTGGGTGACATGCATGGTGACATGCATGGTGGGTGACATGCATGGTGATATGCATGGTGGATGACATGCATGGTGGTGACATGCATGGTGGGTGACACCGTGACATGCACTGTGTGTGTGAGCGTTTAAATGCACGCTGTGTGGAGCCTTGGTCCAGACACTGTTGCTACGGCCATAACAAGTGGTGAGTGGGGATGGTCTGAGAGGGGGTGGTCTGAGAGGGGATGGTTTGAGAGGGGTTGGTTTGAGAGGGGGTTTGCTTGAGAGGAGAGAAGAGTCACGGCAGCTGAGAGTCACTTCATTTCTCTCTGCGGTGATGAGCCCGTTTCTCACCCTTGGCCTCCTACTGTGTGAAAGGGAATCCTTCCCAACTTACAATGTGTCTATTGAGGACGACGACTCGTGTAACATGTTTTATGAGGATCAGAAAGTGCCACAAGCTGAAGAAGAGTTCGCAGTGCAGGCGCACCCGTTATTTGAGGCTTCAAAGGGCGATGGCTAAAAAATTGATTCGAACCTGAGCAGCATCTGCAGTGTGACGCTCACATGGTTGATCCAGAAAATTGCAATGTGAACAATGGCTTATCTGACAGCGGCTGCAGCAACCAGAGTTTCAAGGAGGAGCCTACCGCTTCCAATGCTGCCGGCAACCTATGCAGCCATGTCTACAAGTTCAACTGCTATCACAACAACTACAGAGCTGATTACAGCGAGACCGCGGCTCAATGATAGTCAGCTTCGTGGTTGTTGCAATAACAGCTGAAACTTGTAGATGCGGCTGCAAAGACTGCTGACAACTCTGGTAATGGTAGGCTCCTCCTTGGAGCTCTGGCCGCTGCAGCTGCTGTCAGACAAGCCATTGCTCGTGTTGCAAGTCTCGGAACCAGTCACGTTAACGTCATTGCTGCAGATGCTGCTCAGGTCCCAATCAAATCCCAAGCCATCGCCCTCTGAAGCCTCAAACAGCGGATGCGCCTGCTTTGCGAACTCTTCTTTAGCTTGTTGCACTACTTAGTTGTCCACGGGGGGCTACGTGGTGCTCTTTATTCCTCCCTGCGGCTAGTCCTACCTCCTCTTCCTCCCTTCACTGCTCCTTCCGCTCCGTCCACTCCATTGCTCTCTCCCTTCCCTGCCAGGCTTGACGGTGTGGTGGACAGTGTGACCACGGGGGGCTACGTGGTGCGCGATGCAGGAGGGCAGATGCACGAGGTAAGGCACTCACAAAGGGCTGATTCCGTCTCTCTCCTTGCACTTGCCTCGTTCACCAAAGGACAGTGCACCAGGATCTTGAACGCCCTCTTTATGCAGCAGTCTGAAAGGTGGACAGTGTGACCACAGGGGGGCTATGTGGTGCGCGATGCAGGCGGGCAGATGCACGAGGTACTGTTTTCATTCGCCTACACACACTTCTGTGCCCGCTCTTGCTCTCCCACTCTTGCACTCCCACTCCTCTTGCACTCCCTTCATACCCTCCTCTCAAACTTCTCTTTTCCCCTCTTACACCTCTCGCCCGCGCCCAAGGCATTATGCGCATCGCATCTTGCTTTGTGCACTCGTGTGCACGGTGGGATTCTTGGTTAGTTTTTTTACATTTGAGAATCAGACTTTCCTGCTGCAGCTGTTTGGCTGACACTTACACGCACACTGCTTCACGCACGCACACACACACACACACACACACACACACACACACACACACACATACACACACACACACACACCACTCAATCGACCCCCAACACCACTTAACCCACACACGCCACCTCGAGACGAGAGTACGGCGGGTGGAGGAGAGTGAGGAGGACGCGAGGCGGCGGGCACAGGAGGCACTGGCAGCCGTGGAATGCACACACACACACACACACACACACACACACACACACACACACGCACACCCCAATTCACCAACACACCACCTGACACCCCCCCCCCCCCCCCCCCCCCCTCCCCTCCCCGCTTGCGCCCAAGTCATTATGCACATTACAACTTGCTTTGTGCACTCGTGTGCCCGGTGTGTTTCTTGGTTCGTTTGTCAACGTTTGAAAAGACGTAACGGCTGCAGCTGTTTGGCTGACAAATGCACGCACGTCGTTTCACACACACACACACCACTCGACCCCCACACACCACTTTACTCACACACACCACCTCGACACGAGAGTGAGGCGGGTGGAGGAGAGCGAGGAGGACGCGAGGAAGCGAGCACAGGAGGCACTGGCAGTTGTGGGGAGAGAGGCGGATGAGACGAGGAGAGCAATCTCACACCCAAATTCACCATCCCCGCACACAAACCCCCCCACCCTCACCACTCGCCTCACCCCACCACACACGCAAACCGCCTGCAGGTGCGGGAAACAAGAGTACGGCGGGTGGAGGAGAGTGAAGAAGACGCAAGGAAGCGAGCACAGGAGGCACTGGCAGCTGTGGAGCGAGAGGCAGATGAGACGAGGAGAGCCCTCAAGCGGAAGATGGAGGAAGCTTCCAGGACGGAGTTGGTGAAGAAGGAGATTCCGCTCAAGCTGAGGATCAAACCAGAGGACTCGGAAGATGTGGTGAGTGCAGTGCAGCGGGGTGCGGCGGAGGGGTGAGGGTTAGGGTCTGGTGAGGTCACATTGCTATGGTAACGTTGTCACTCTGACTTACTTGAGCTGTCTTATGACTTACCTCTTTCTCCATGATACCAGCACTTCATTTGTTTCCACTCATTCCTCCTATCCCGACCCTTGTCCTGTATCAGTGTCCCTTGTCCCCGTTGCCTTCTCCTTTTCCGTGAGCCTCCTCCCTTCTTCCTGCATTCTTCTCCCCAACAAGCCAACAACAAGAGGCGGATTCACTCGTTCCTGTCGCATGTCCTCTACCCATGCCCCCTCTCCTGGTCACGCTCTCCTTTCTCCCCGTCGTCTCCCCCACAGAAAGTGGAGAAGAAGCGGAAGATCCACGCATTCAAGTCAAAGCAGTGCAGATGAGCACGTGTTCTAGCCCCATGCGCTCTATCCATGTCCCATCTCCTGCTTGCCGGCTCCCTTTTGTCCCTCTCCCGTATCCCTCTCCCCCCCCCCCAGAAAGTGGAGAAGAAGCGGAAGATCCACGCGTTCAAGTCGAAGCAGCGGATGGAGATGCTGGAGGTGATGAAGATGAGCACATGTTCTTGGCCCATGCACCCATGTCCCGTGTCCCTCCTCCTCCAAAACCCCCCCCCCCACCCCCAGAAAGTGGAGAAGAAGCGGAAGATCCACGCGTTCAAGTCGAAGCAGCGCATGCAGATGACAATGTGTTCTAGCCCCATGCCCTCTATCCATCTCCCATCTCCTGCTTGCCCGCTCCCTTCTGTCCCTCTCCCATGTCCCATCTCCTGCTTGCCCGCTCCCTTCTGTCCCTCTCCCATGTCCCATCTCCTGCTTGCCCACTCCCTTCTGTCCCTCTCCCATGTCCCATCTCCTGCTTGCCCGCTCCCTTCTGTCCCTCTCCCATGTCCCATCTCCTGCTTGCCCGCTCCCTTCTGTCCCTCTCCCATGTCCCTTCTCCTGCTTGCGCACTCCCTTTTGTCCCTCCCCCGTGTCCCTCCTCCTTCCCCCCCTCCCATCCAGAGAGCGGCGAAGAAGTGGAAGATCCACGCGTTCAAGTTGAAGCAGCAGATGGCGATGCTGGAGGTGATGACGTCCCATGCCGTCCATCTGTTTCCGTCCTCGCGCCTGCCCCTCCCTTCCCCTCCTTCTACCCTCCCCCTGTCCTTCTCCTCGTCCTCACTCCCCCCCCAGAAAGTGGAGAAGAAGCGGAAGATCCACGCGTTCAAGTCGAAGCAGCGGATGGAGATGCTGGAGGTGATGACCAACAAGAAGCAGAACACGTGGCAGCAGTTCCAAACCAAGGGCATCAAGAGGAAGGTCTGCACCGTCCTCTCCCCTTTCCCTTTCCATGCTTGCTTCCCTTTTGAGATGCCTCGAAAGCAGAACACGTGGCAGCATCAAGAAGAAGGTCTGTAACGTCCTCTCCCCGCTTCATGCACATGCCATGCATGAGTCAGCTGTAGGAGCCTCTTTGCCATCCCACTCTTTCTCTCCTAACAATCCACTCTCTACTTCAGGACACCAATACGCCTGTTCGCCGTTACAATTATGCATCACCCCTTTCTGTTGTTTTGAGATTACTCATTCTGATGGTTTGAGATTACCCCATGTCCATCGCGGACATATCTTGGCTGCTGCCTCTGCCATTGGCACTTGACGGAGTGTCACTCACTCGCTCGCTCCCAGATTTTAGATGTGCCCTTGGCGCTTGTCTCGCTCACTCATTTTCCTCACTCTCTCTTCACCTTTCACATTTGTTGGGCTGAATATTCACTGCGACCATCATCTGTCACCTCTGAGACTGCATCTGTTGAGGCACATCAAAGTCGCTTTCGCCTTTCACAGTCTTCAGAGTACACTCTCTCTCTCATCTCAACGACTTCATCTCTCGTCTCTCTTCCCTTCCTGACGGGGCACAAGAAGGAGAGCATGTTCAAATCGCCAGAGAATGTTGGCAGCAGGGTGAGGGTTACTCTTGAGGCGCCTAAGAAGTGCTCTCTCCATCCATCCCATCCCGTCCCATCCCATCCTCCCATCCCATTCTCTCAGGCGGGCTTCCTGACAGGCCGCAAGAAGGAGAGCATTTTCAAATCGCCAGAGGACGTGGGTGGCAAGGTGGGGGTGGTGGGGAGCGGGCAGGGCATGACGGATTTCCAGAAGAGAGACAAGAATCTCAACCTGCGCGCACAGGGCCAGGCAGAGGACGACTAAGGCTACACTGTTTCTGAGGCGCCGCAACCATAAGAAGGGCATGACAAACTTTCAGAAGAGAGACAAGAATCTCAACCTGCGTGCACAGGGCCAGGCAGAGGAGGATTAGTGCTACACCCAGAAGCTGTATTGTATGATCATGTGTATTGACGTTACGGAGCTCATTCTGCTAGTGTACGGAGTGGAGGTTAAATAAAAGTACCATACCAATGGATTATAACATTATGGGGGGTGTGAGACTGATGAGTGGGTGTACGATACGATTGATGCCGCATGGTCTTGAGGATTCATGTCCATCTGGTCCAACTCAAGGGCAGCCCTCCATCCCCCTTAGTAGCGCGGGATGGGTGCGGACAGTGCAAACCTCGGCCCAGCACCTACAGTTACGACTGTCAATGTATTGTGCACTTTATAGGTAGTGTATCTTTCATCACCAAAAAACAAAAAATTGTTGGCACATTGGTCTAAACCTTCCATAGTTTAGGGTGCCAAAAGCAACGGGGGCAAGCGGTCCTTTTTTAGTTCGGTGCGCCTGCTCCGCTCGTAGAGGAGTTGCCACAGGTCCGCCTGGAACGAGTTGCGGCGCTTTGGGCGCGATGCGGACCGCGTAAACGCGGGGTTCCGGGCAGGACAGTTCGAGGCAGGAAAGGACAGGACAGGCCAGGCCAGGGCAGGTCAGAACACGATGGGACGGGACAGAGCAGGCCAGGCCAGGTCGGGAAATGGCAGATTAGGCCAGGACAGGAAAAGACCGGACAAGTCCGGACAAGACGGGACAGCACAGGACGGGGCAGGGCAGGACAGGACAGGACAGGACGGACGGGACAAGGTGGGGCGGGGCGGGGCAGGGCAGGGCAGGGAAGGGCAGGGCAGGGGGGAAAGCGAGTGCTTTATGAAATGGGTGCAGTGCTTTATGAAACGGGTGCAGTGGTTGATGAAATGGGCACAGTACTTTATGAAATGGGTGCAGTGCTTTACAAAAAGCTTGCTATACGGCGATTGTAATAGACGGTCCACTCGAGGAGATCTTCTAGCAGCTCCTTACGCCACCACTCCGCGCCTCCGTGGAGGTGAATGTTTTCAGGGTCCCGAAAGCGCGAGAGCACGAGGTACTGCATATACTTCATCACAAACACGCCACAGTTACACGCGTCCGTCTGCTGTGTTGCCTGCAGCAGGAAGGGGTAAACAGGGTTTAGAGTGAGCGTCCGATGAGCGGGGAAGCAGGCTGACTGTCAATGCGAACCCCTCACCCACCGTCAATGCAAATCTCTCACCCACCTGGACTTTGACTAACGGCACGTGGCTGAGCGTCAATGCGAACCGCTCGGGGCCTTACCCACCTGCCCCTGACCCCCCTCATCACCACCCCTCACCCCTCATCAGCACCCCTCACCCCTCATCAGCACCCCTCACCCCTCATCAGCACCCCTCACCCACCTGGACTTTGACTAACGGCACACGAGCAATCCAGTCGTCTGCCTCTGCCTCGAACACGCCTAGCATCAATTCTCGCAGCTGCTGCCGCAGGTACCTGCCAGGCCAGCACACCACTTGCTTGAATCATGGGGTTACAAATCACAGGGTTACGTGCATGATAAGGGCACAGGGTCGGGGATAGGAGCTTATTGCTGCAATGGCGCTTCAAATTTTGTGTGCAGGGACAGGGAGTCAGCATGTAGGATGCGGGTAGGGCGGCGTGGCAGTGTGGGCGAGCGGTCGTTGTCTAGGATGACTAGACTCCAATGATTACTGCCACAACAATGACAATGAGAATAGCAATGAGAACGGGAATGACAATGCCAATGACAATGCCAATGACAATGCCAATTGAGAATGACAATGAGAATGAGAATGACAATGAGAATGAGAATGAGAATGAGAATGAGAATGATTCCCACATGATGCGCACCGTTGGAAGGTGACGTGTTTGAGTCGACCCAAAGTCAGGGATGACCAAACGCCAATGATTACTACAAGCCCTACATGCGCACCGTCAGTTGATTACTACACAACTTGTGAAATGGGTCGCACCCACCCACCCAAGAATTCAATACCCAGCTTACTCTGCGTGCAGCGGAATGAGAACCCATCTAAACAGCAGCATGTTCTCATGTGGAAGGACCAGGTAACCCTCGCCTGGGCGACGAGGCATTGAGATCAAACCGAAAGTGAAAATGGAGCAGTATAGCCACGAAAATTCCTCGTACTTGTTTACGTACTGCAGCATCCTGTAAAGTACAAGGAACGAGGGCCGCATGCAAGGTTAGTACGGGACGCAGGCATGGTTCCGATGCACTGCAATTTACAACACTCGATGACTCAACTGATGACACCACTCACAGTCCGAACCACTCGATCACTTCTCCAGACACCCATTACCGCGGCTGCAGAGTTTCCACGTCGCGCTTAGTAAGCACGAGCCAATCATCGTATAGGGGAAACACCATTTCGAGTTTCGTGAAGGTTTCCAGCCGAGCCTCGCCAAAGGAGGGCTCGTCCCCCTCGTGCTCCATGCGCTCGTCCCCCTCGTGCTCCATGCGCTCGTCCCCCTCGTGCTCCATGCGCTCGTCCCCCTCGTGCTCCATGCGCTCGTCCCCCTCGTGCTCCATGCGCAACAACGGGGCTTGCTCAAGTCGCCGTGGATCGCGTGCGTCGCGCCGCGAGCGATGGTGAGGGACAGACGTGAAAAGCGGTAGCTTAGAGGTTCACGCTGCTTAAACTCCGAGTCGATTGCGCAAGGCTCGAGAACAACCGCTCAATACCCGAGGGACGTGCACAATTCCTGCAAGTTGGCCATCAATCTACTGTTCTAGTTGGTCGTGCTCACGAAGATACGAAAGGGAGGAAATAGGTCAAAGTGCGCGCGTGCGGGAACGATAGGTAGCGTGCGAGCAATCCACAAACTTAGGACGCGTTATCTCCGCAAATCCAATCATGCTGTCGGGATGAATGATCAGTGGGAAATGATCAGATTGGGGCCCCGAAGTTCTAGGAATAGAGCCAACTTGGGGCCTCGTGTGTCGCGATGTTTCCAACCTGGTCCGAACCTGTCTCTAACCAATTTCCGGCCTCACCCACGCGCTCCGTCAGACCTGACCACACGACGTGACGGATTTCTGAACGGACAAGCTGGCAAAAAATATAAACCCCATACGGGCATGCATCAACCCTAAACACATTGTCGCATGATTTTAGGGTTGATGCCTCCCCAATTTTATGCCATCCAATTGGGTTTTAATTTTTTTACCACTACGATAATATTTTTGGGCTAAAATGTTTATTTCTGGGTTATTTTGCTGAAGTATCTGTACTGTCAAACTCATATGCTATAGTCTGTGTAGGCTGTAGTGGGGTAGACAATATGGGGTACAACACTTTTAGGTTTTCCTACTTGTACCCACCTGCTTGCTAGTTCATTCATTCCTCGTTCTTTCACATGGTATCAGAGCAGGTTCCCTAGTGGGAACGTTTCCTAGGGCCCACCGAATATCGTTCTGCCCGTAGCGCGCTTCACCCCTGCCCGAGTCGCGCCCCGTGTGCCTACCCTCCCGTCGCGTCCCCTGCCCTTAGTGGCCCGTCGCGCTCCCCTACGGCCCCGTAGCGGCCCCTCTCACGGCCTCTCACTGCCCCTCTCATGGCCCTTCGCGGCCCCTTCAGGCCCTTCGTGGCCCCTTCACGGCCCCTTCACGGCCCCCTCGCGGCCCCTTCGCGCCCCCCCCCCTCGTGGCCCCTTCGCGGCCCCTTCGCGCCCCCCCCCCTCACGGCTCTCTTCGCGGCCCCTTCGCAACCTGGCCCCGTCGCGCATCGCGGCCCCGCTGCGTCGCCCCCGCCTCGTCGCGTCGCCCCTGCGGGACCCGCGAGGCGCGGCTCCTGTGCGTCGCGACACCCCTGCGGGACCTGCGTGGCGTCTCCCCTGCCCGCCGCGGCGTCCTGCCCTAACCCGCCCCTGGAGCAGCCGCCACTGCAGCAGCCGCCCCTGGAGCAGCCGCCCCTGCAGCAGCCGCCCCTGGAGCAGCCGCCCCTGCAGCAGCCGCCCCATGGAGCAGCCGCCACTGCAGCACCCGCCCCTGGAGCAGCCGCCACTGCAGCAGCCGCCCCTGGAGCAGCCGCCACTGCAGCAGCCGCCACTCCAGCAGCCGCCCCTGAAGCAGCCGCCCCTGCAGCACCCGCCCCTGCAGCAGCCGCCCCTGGAGCAGCCGCCACTGCAGCAGCCGCCCCTGGAGCAGCCACGCCTTTAGCAGCCGCCCTTGGAGCAGCCGCCCCTGCAGCAGCCGCCCCTGCAGCAGCCGCCCCTGCAGCGGCCGCCCCTGGAGCAACCGCCCCTGCAGCAGCCGCCCCTAGAGAAGCCACCCCTGTAGCAGCCGCCCCTGGAGCAGCCGCCACTGCAACAAACGCCCCTGGAGCAGCCGCCCCTACAGCAGCCGCCCTTGGAGCAGCCGCCCCTGCAGCAGCCGCCCCTGGAGCAGCCGCCCCTGCAGCAGCCGCCCCTACAACTGCCGCCCCTAGAGCAGCCGCCCTTGCAGCTACCGCGGAGCCCTCACCCTACAGTGGTAGTGGCCTCGCCGTTGCCGCAGTCGTAGGCCTGCCCTTCTCGCCACTGGTGAGCACTACCCTGCCCGTACTGCTGTTACTGCTGCTCTTGCTGCTACTGCCCTTTCTACTGCTATTGCTGCTCTTGGAGTGGCCAGATGCAGCTCTAGCGTCGTCCGCGTGAGTCCCTCACCCCCCAACAGCTTCGTGAGTGGTACACTAGTTGGGGTTATAGGGGTGGCCGTAGTGGGAGTCGTCCTGGAGTGAGTAGTTCAGCAGCTACTTGTAGTGGCCACGTGCTGCTGCAGCGTCGTCCGTGCGCGGTCCTTTCGCCCCAGCAGCTTCGTGAGTGGTACGCTCAGCGTGACGGGTCACGGGGTACTGCTCGCTATCCGTACGTCATTCGCACTGGTGCTTGGACTGGTCAGCTTTGCGGGACGTTTGGACACGCAGAGTCTCGCTGCTTCGCCCGTCTGAGCGACGCTTGTGGTACGGAGTTTGGCGACGCGGCTGAGCTCCCCGACTGGGTGTAGCTGCTTAGGCTGCGGGTAGATGTCTATACTATTCACTATGATGCTATCCTCACTGCCATGTATGCATTGGCTACTAGTGATGAGGGTGACTGTTACCTGTGTGTTCCGCCTGACCCGGGCATTGAGGCTGCTGCTCTAGGTGCTGGTGAGGCTGCTGCTCTAGGTGCTAGTGCGTCTGCTGCCCCAGGTGCTGGTGAGTCTGCTCTCTCAGGTACCACGTCGGCTCAGGCCTTACACACCTTCACCCTTGACTCGGGTGCTTCCCGCTCCTTCTTTCGAGACCGCACCACGCTTACGCCGCTTAGTCGGCCGGTTGCGGTCTCCCTGGCGGACCCCTCTGGGGGTCCTCTCCTTGCTAGCTTCTCCACTGTCTTACCGTGTCCGGCAGCCCCCTCTGGCACCCTGTCAGGTCTCTACCTCCCCTCGTTCTCTACGAACTTGGTGAGTGGTGCTGATCTACAGGATTGGGGGGTTGACCAGTTCAGACCTGCGAGTCAGCGGGTGACCCACTGTACATGTGCTCGGACGGGCCGACACTTGGCCACGTTGACCCGTCGGCCGAGGTCAAGCCTGTACACACTGACTACTGAGTCTCCTTCGGCTGCTGCCCTTGGTCAGGAAGCTGCGTTTGGTCAGGTAGCTGCGTTGAGTCAGATGTTTGTTGCAGCGTCCAGGTCTGGTCCTGAGTCTGCTCCCTGCTCCTGTCGTCTCCTGTCCCACCAGACTCTCCTTTGGCACCACCGCCTTGGTCACCCCTCCTTGCCTCGTCTCCGAGGCATGGCCTCCCGTGTCCTTGTCTCTGGTCTCCCCCGGTCCCTCCCTCCCCTCCCTCCGGGGCCTGCCCCTACCTGCGTTCCCTGCGTCGAGGGGCGGCAGCGCGCCGCCCCTCACTCCTCCGAGTTTCCTCCGACAGAGGCTCCCCTTCAGACTCTTCACATGGACGTGTGGGGCCCCGCCCGCGTTTGTGGCCAGGGATACGAGCGTTACTTCCTGTTGGTGGTTGACGACTACTCGCGTTACACCACGGTGTTCCTCTTGCGCAGCAAGGGTGACGTCACTGAGGTGTTGATCGACTGGATCCGCGCGGCTCAACTCCAGCTCAGAGAGAGTTTCGGCTCGGACTTTCCAGTTCTGCGTCTCCACTGTGACAGAGGCGGGGAGTTTTCCTCTGCCCGTCTAGGAGCCTTCTATCGTGCACAGGGCATCCGCCAGACCTTCACGCTTCCGGCCTCTCCACAGCAAAATGGGATTGCTGAGCGCCGCATTGGCATGGTCATGGACGTCGCTCGTACGTCCATGATCCATGCGGCTGCTCCCCATTTTCTATGGCCGTTTGCGGTTCAGTACGCAGCGCATCAGCTCAACCTTCAGCCCCGGGTCTCCTTGCCAGAGACCTCCCCCACCTTGCGGTGGACGGGGAAGGTTGGCGATGCGTCTGCGTTTCGGGTCTGGGGATCTCGGGCGTTTGTCCGCGACTTGTCTGCGGACAAGCTGTCCCCTCGTGCTGTTCCCTGCGTCTTCCTTGGCTTCCCCCCTGACGCGCCTGGTCGGCAGTTTTACCACCCCACCTCACGCCGTGTTCTGTCCTCCCAGGACGTCACCTTTGACGAGTCGGTGCCTTACTACCGTCTCTTCTCCTACCGCACTGTGCCCCTGCCCCCGCCGCCGCTCTTCCTAGCGCAAGGTCCTCCCCCCGTAGACCCTCTCCCTCCTCAGGGTCCTGCCCCGTCAGGTGTGTCCCAGGTAGACGCAGTCGAGCCTGTCGAGGTAGCTGTTGACTCTGGTGCTGCTAGGGGCGCTGAGCCTGCGGGTGCCGGGTCAGGGAGTGCTGAGCCTGGGGGTGCGGAGCCTGGGGATGCTGAGTCTAGGGGTGGTGAGCCTGGGGGTGCTGAGTCTAGGGGTGCTGAGCCTGGGGGTTTGGAGCCTGGGGGTGCGGAGTCTGGGGGTGCTGGGTCTGCTCGTGTGGCCTCTGGCGGTTCTTCGTCGAGGCGGGAGCATCTCTCTCCGCAAGAGTTGCACGAGTGGTTTGCCCGGCGCTGGAGCCGTGCTGCTGGAGCTGGAGGTACTACTGTTGCTGCTGGTCCTGGAGGTGCTCGTACTGGCGATACTGGAGCTGCTAGGACTGGGAGTGCTACTAGGGCTGCTGGCATTAGTCCTGCTGGAGGTACTACTGGAGTTGCTGGCGAAGCTGGAGCTGACGGTTCTGCTGGAGTTGGTTCTGCTGGAGCTAGAGCTGCTGGGGGTGTTGGCGCTGATGGTTCTGCTGGCGATGGTGCTTCTGAGGGTGCTGGAGTTGCTGCTGGCGCTGTTGGAGCTGGAGATGCTGCTGGCGCTGGTGCTGCCGCTGGGGGTACTGGTGCTGTCCCTGCTGGTTCTGGAGGCCCTGCGCGGCCGAGGCCGTACTTCGTTCAGCTCCTTGAGCAGGTTCTTGGTCTCCCGCCCTCTAGTGGTCCTGCTCCTCCCTTAGAGTGTCCACAACCTGTCCAGTCGTGGTCACAGTTACAGCCCGCCTCCCCCCTACCTGCTCCTTGTCCCTACTCTGGTCC